CTGATATATCCCTTTTTGCCCATTTGCGATCGTAATGCTGCTTATCAATGCGGATGAACAACTGTTTCTAGCTCAACGGCTGGGCATACGTTGCGTGTAACGGGAAGCAGCCGCAGCCCGGTTAAATAAGAACCGTATGAAAATGTCGATCATATCGATCTCGAGGAAGCTCAATATTCATCGCAGCGACGTTACATATGTGCGCTATCTGCGCTTCCGGAAGAAAAGAAGAAACTGAGAGAGGTTACTGATTGTAGCGACGTGTAGCTATCAGCCATAGCGATGCCAAGGCTGTTTTAAGTAGAAGGATGCAAGAGGGTATGAAAAACTGGCATATCACTAAATCAGGTAGGGGGCTGCAAATCGCCTATAAGTTTTAGACTTCCTATCTGTTTACTTTCAACCGTTCTCAACTTCAGTGAGAGCCAGTATCTTTGTTAGCGCATAATTTTAGTTGGTGAGCAATAGGTATTGGCGTAAGTTGTGCCTTGATCAAAGCGATATTTATTGGTTGTGCTTGAAATGCGTGAAAATTTTATTTTATAAAAAACTAATTAACCTTACAAGCAAGCACACCTAGTTAAGCTGTATTTCTATGCCAGGGGCAGAACTTTTAACAGTCCCTGCTTCTTAGTCTTTCTTGATGTAAATGACTTGCCCTGTAAGGAGCAGTGGGCGTACGAGGCATCGATAATTCCGTCACAGACGCTTTCTGCTGCGGCTTGCGGGTTCTTTTTCTTTTTTCTTATTACCTTCTGGACGTTCTGTGTTCATTAACTTGCTGCTTACCCCCAGTCTTTTTACCAGTGTTTGTCTAATGTAATGTTCGAATTAACTCTGCACTGTGTTCGTTGAGCCATCTGGTTTCTCACAGGTTTCTCCTGACCTGAAGGACAAATTAATACCTTTAACTCTCACATGGTGAAATGGTTTGCCTTTGATGATTCAATGGGTAACTCAACGTCTCTGAAACTAATGTCTGCAGTTTTCTTTTTTCAAAACATATCTTACTTTTCAAAAAATTTCTCTATGTAGAAAATCGAGCGCGATATCAAAGGCTATACGAAATATAATCATTGAAATATTGATTCACCGTACATCTATATATATATATATATATTTAGGGCATTCGTATCGTTATAACGCTAGCGGATGACTCTTCTCTAATGTCTTACAGTAATTTCTATGGAAGGAAGCAGAATTTTCTATGGAACAACACAGGCCTGCTGGTACAAGGCATGGGGGCATAATTAATTCAGATTTATAAAAGCTAACGATTATATACATTTGAATTTCCCATTATGTTGTCATGTCCAGTAATTTTAGCCATTATTTTTAAGTGAACATATGCGACGTAATAGATAGACTTCGCCTTCTATGACAGTTTAGATAATACATGTTATAAACCCATAGTCTATCAACATAACGTATTCCACCTCATTTCTGCTAGTAACAGGAGGAGGCTTAATCACGCAGGATTTAAGAATTGATCGAGCTTTTGTTATGACGATCCACGTCAACAATTTGCTTCGGTTGAGTATAAGCTACGCATAAACCACTGAGACAACAGACCATTGTTTCTCAGATTGGGCATGAAATGAGCCCAGCTATTAACGATGATATACTCGTGTGAGTTGGTATAATACTAAATCATCACATAATTTACTTGATTAAATATAGGTAATGTTTTTTTTTTTTACATATTATTTATATATTTGTACCTTACATGCATTACAATATCAAGGACTCATCAAGAAAGGTATCACAGGTAGTAATGCTATGAGAATATTGGCGTTGTTAATGTAAGGTTGTAGGGCGAACCGTTTTCTTATCACCCTTCCTGGGGTGGGTTGAAAATTCATTGGCAAGATTTCTTTGCCTGCGTCCCAGAATCTTCTCATTTAAGTGGGATTTAACTAGAATAGTGATGCCACCCAATATCGTCTCCATTTCACTTTAAAAGGTTACTTTCGCTACTTTGTTAGCCTGCGGGAAAAGCAATGAAGTCGTTTATACGTAAAAGCTGCGTTCACTCCTGGTAATCGTTATCGAAAGTTAGCTTTCTATATATCTCTTTTATTCTGTTTTCCTTTTTTCTTCATTGTCTCTTTGTGTGAAGAATGTCAAGCTTTGGATAGTGTGTTTTCGCTCATTTAACGACAAAAAAGGTCTTCGTCGTTTTTTTTTTTTAATAGAATGGACAGACGTTTAAGCAAGCTGAACGTTAGCCTCTCGCATGAGAAAAAATTTATTCTTATTTTGTCGTGTTGAGGATCAAGACCACACGACCGTCGGCTCGATAGCGAGAACAGCTGAGAGAACGCTCCTCCATGTGAGGGCGGTTGCTGCATTGGCCCAACAGCTATGCATTGCGCACCATTCAACACTGGGAATGTTCTGAAGTCCTTGTTGAAGACTAGCGAACGGAACAATGTCAAGCCTTACACGCTATTATAAACTATCCTGGTTGATGTGAGCACAACAAAAAGCTGACAACAGAATAGGTAGAACTGTAGTCAGCCCTAGGCACCAGTCGACATTAGTACGAACATTAGAAGTAGCACGGGGGATAAAACGTATGTAAATGGCTTTAGCTGTTGTTACTGCAGTCGGTGAAGGGGCATAAATCCTAGAGAGGAGAGTGGCAATCCAAAGTGAGCAGTGTCTTAGGGTCGGAACGCCCCAAAGGCAAAGTAGGCCTAAGGCTAGGAAGCGTTTAATACGGTTTCATAATGGCCTATAGAACTAGAGACGAATGCAGTTGTCTCGATGGCAATGCAGAGGGGATTCGACAATAGTAATTTGACAACGGCTAGCAAAAATCGAAACCGTGTGGCAATTTACAGGAAGCAAGACAACTGTCTTGTTATTATGTGTACATATTGTTAAAAGACCTTAGGATACTTATTATTATAGAATACGTATAAAAATATAAACAAGGCTTACCAATGAACAAACATCAAAACGTCGCCCTTAAAAGGCTGTCTGTCCAGCTAAGGCATGTATGCTGATATAGACACGTATAAGTAGAAATTTATCCCAAATACAATATTTGGAGAAATGGGGGCTTTACCAGGAATAAAAAATTGATATCCAGTACCTTTCAGCTTTTTTACACGCTCGTTTTTAGGTAGCTGCTAACATGTTCAATATTTAGCCTCAAGTATACACCGGTTTGAAAATTCGAGAGCAACCACTTAACCTTGATTGCGGTAAACAGCGCGTCTTTGGGCACGCTCGTTTTTTTTATATACGAGCAACCCCTAAAGCACGTACCGTATCCGGATCAGCAGCTGTACTATAGATCAGTAATGTAGACGTAATATTTGAACTATACCTACCGTTAAGCCTAGGACTTAAGAGTTGATTAACTCGCCAAACAGCTACCGTACTATAATATTTCATTCGCCGAATCGTTAATTCATTAATTAATTAGTCAAGCTGCTGACTCACCACTTATTGGCCTAATTAACTTCCACTAGAAGTTCACACAGCTTCCTAACCATGCCAGTTAGCCTAGATCGAGCCTAGATGGACGGCCTCCTTTTCGGTCGTTACCTTCTCTGAATGGTCTAAGTGACAACCCGGCGAATTACTTGCTGCGGACGGTTGCTCTCATAGCAAGCGGACCTCTATCTGTTTGCTACCAGATAAAAAGAATCGTCGCCGTAGTGGTCGTTACCATGATCACAATTACCGTAATGATATGGCTACAATGGCAAGGCTCTGCACGAATCTTTGGCTAAAATGGTCTCACTGACATTAGTATCATGTATATGTAAGAACGCATATGGATCTGTGGAAAAATACCTTTTTTTAATTAGAAAAATATATCTGCAAAACATTAATGACAAAGAAAATCCTTTTGAGGTCACGCCATGGCTAGCTTGGCTGCCTCTTGCAGAAATCAATCTACTCCCTAGGAGAGGTGGTGTTTGTAGCACTTTTTACAGAAAATTGCGTATACATGGTTAGGTTAATAGCAATGTCGGTATTTATCGGTATCCATAGTGTACATATATTATCATAGGGATTGTATAGAGGCAGACATTCTGCTCATGTGGGTTCGTGCCAAACTGTAAGCAAGCACAACAATCCAGTTAGTATTGCTGGTAAATATCATGACAGCCAGCTTTAAGCAACAGGGCTCCCATGACAAGAGCCGTTTATACGAATGAAAGTTGTTGTTTTTCTTTCTGACGGAACTTGTAGGGTTAATTTTAGACGATAATGGCCGATTTGCCTGTCCAGTACATGTATTTAGGTGGTTTCTAGCATGAACACGCGTGGTCCATTCTCGTCATCCACTTACTCAAGGCTGCGCTAGAAAGACCTGGGAATTATTCTTTTAGTGATTCGTATTCACAAATAGGATTATCTCTATGGTTTCACTCTTATATAGAGGTGTGCTACAAAGAAGCCACTGCTAACTATGTGATGCTCCTTGTTTCCTTGCATCACGCTAGCTGAACGCTCAATTCCACTATAGTAAGCTATACGTGCGGCCGATAGCTATTGCACAAGGCAGCATTAGTAGATCATAAAGTTTACAGTTAAGTGTAAAGTTTCATGGCGGTTTGGACGATGTGGGATCACCACGCTCTAGAAGAAAATGCCATAGGTCGTTCATTCTTATCGCGGTCAGTCCTCGATACGGAAATATACGTAAAGAAATCTAAAGATTGAGTAGCTGGGGCAGTGGTATTAAGGTCTAAGAATATAAAGAGTGTGACATAGATTTACGAGAGAATGACCCAATAAAGCACCACGGTAAAACTCACTAAACGAAGCAATCATGGTGATTCTAACTTTTTGTCAAATTCTATTTTATATAAAACATCAGGCTAGACACGCAGATATTTTGCGCTAATCTACAGAGATATCTGAACTATGAAACAGATCTGTTTATTTACATATACTACCCCATACCGGCTAGCTGCATATCAGTTTCCGTGTATATTCGTTAATCAATTTATCTTCGACATTCCTTTGACTTTCAGGCTCGTTTGGCAAACTTCATAATAGCAATGAACAGATCACGTGCTCACAAACGCACAAAGACTCAACGGACGGGTCCCAGGGTTCCAGTAGTGCGTTTGGCGGGATGACGTCTACGAAGTCGGCGGAGTCGTCCGTTGACGTTATCTCAGGCGTTCTCGGAGCTGCATCATCCGTAACTTCTATACAGGTAAATAATCGTTATGGATAGCGCGTACTTAATTAAGGGCACTACATTAGTAAATGGCAGTAATATGTATGGTCCTTTTTGTGGCCTTCCATTACGCTACAAACGAATATGTCGCTTTACGGGATCCCAGTTGGCCCTCCTGTTCACGGTTGAGCGCTTCGCTCCGAAACGGTCGGCCAACTCAGATATCGACTTCGAAATTTTAGTGATTAGCTAACTTAGCAAAAGCGCGTACTTTGAACCGGTTTACACTTTTTTGAATCCCTCACCGCGCCAATATTCGCCAATGGCGACCCACATGTGCTGCCATATATGCAAGTATATACATGTAAGAAGAAATCTGATTATCGGAGACCTCGGCATGATGCCATTATTGTAGGTCGTAAGTGCTCCAAAGTAAGCAAGATAGCGACGTATTTTTTGCCCGGTATAGGTTTACTATTATTAGATTTCATTGCACGCTTGTTATGCTAGACGTACTTACTTGGTTTCCAGTAACTCAGACCTTCACGTAAGTTAAAAACAGGGCATGCCGCCTGCGTTATCTTTTTCGTAGTTTGTTGCGTGAGGTCGAAACAAGATTCTAAATTGGACATAGAAGAGAATCCTTGCAATATATCTAAAATTAATCTTTACTGGAGTGAACTTTTCTCCTGTGCAGAGCATAACTTACTACGTATTGTGTACGATAAGACGCATGCTTTCGTTTGGGTTTGTTTGTAGGTCAGATATCAGGCTAAATGCAACAAACTTGGTGATATATTTTTGTGTTTTGTCTTGCCTGTGTAGTGTTATGAACGTGCTTGCTTGTGCAGACTTATGGATGAATGGTATAATGCGATTTATCGTCCCTTTTAGCAAGAACATGCTGTCTATCGATTTTGATAGGTTCGCGTCGCTTGGAAGAACGAGTCAGGTCCCCTGTGGGCCTTGATTAGCATTGATGATAACGGGTCGCGGTAGGTTCGTTCGAACGGTGTCTGTTCACTAGCCTTCGACGACCTTAATTGAATTAGCGGAAAGCACGTAAATCAGACGTCGTTGAAGCTGGCCTGAAGGAAAACAAACTTCTTGAAGAACAAAGTGTGTTGTCTCTGTCGAAGGTCAAAAAGGGAATAATCAATTGCAAATGATGCGTTTGGCTCAACAAAAACGGCAGCTCAAATGTCGGGTGCTGGAAGGCCTTCCAAGTAATCATAAAACCAGTAATTGTTATCATATGGGAATCGATTATTCAATATTTGAACTATAGCTTACCTATGTTGGCTTGGGCATTCCAGGTTGGGCTTGACAATTGGCGGAAGTTTTGCCGTAATGTGCATTTTCCACATGGTTTCGTGTAAGGGTACATCTCATGTAATCGGCATTCACTTTGGGCCGTATAGTATATGCATGCTCTTGTCCTCTAGAAGAACAAATGGGTATAAGTTTATCAGTCGATGTAATTAAGAGGTGACTCAGCTTGACAAACTGCTGTGCTTGAGTTACCGTAACTTTTAACGATCGCTAACTCTAGCCCCTGAAACAGCCATTAATAACGAGTATCAGCTTTCAAGGAGTACATCAATTTAAAGTTAGTTAAAAATACTGATTAACTTAACATATGGAATAGCGAACGTGTCGTTGTTTTAAAGAGTGGAAACGAAATATAGAAAATCGTCCTCCTTGCTTGTCCAGCCTCGACATGCGGAAGAGTAGAGTTTTCTGTCATAATATACCTGGTCAACTGAAAGCGGCTCTTTCTCAGAGGCTAATTTTCCCCTGTATAGTACGTCAAATATATTCAGTGTAAGATTTAACTAACGATTTTGTGACTGGCTTTGATACCTCCAATATACATAGCGGAAGTAAGATTCCTTTCAACACCGTTCTTAAATTAGACCGATTTACATAAATCAGACTGATTAGATGCGCTGTATTAGGGAGACAATAAGATGCTTTTCCGTTTCCTTGTGATGTCTTAATTCTTTTTTCCTAGTTGCGTTTAACAATCTACTAAAGACTTTTGCCTACATAATTATAATTTTAGGCTTAGCAAGTTGATTTTCTGAGCTCACTTTTGCTTTACTGCGCAGTCAAATAGCACACGTTTTTACGAACACCCAAAATAGGTCTAATCGGTCCCAGCAGTCCATTGTTTCACGGATTTGCATAGCGTAGTTGGAAGGAGGCGTTTCAGTGTGTGGTAACCGAACTCCAAGTGAAGTTGTCATTGAGGATGCATTGTTGCAGAATATGGGTCTTGCTTCTGGTTACAAACTTTGGACGGATCTTGAAGGGAACAAATATTTGGTTAATGTTCTATGTAAGTTTATAGCGTCGGTCAATTTTATGAATGGGGGAGTCGATCGCGGCGAGGCTATATCAATATTACCAGATCAAGAGCGTTCGTTTGCGCATTTCGCCCGACACTTATAGATCCTATTACGTAGAGTAGTCAAGTATACCTGAGTTGTGGTCAGCCATGATATCGGCGCATAAGGTCACAGCCAAAGGAAGGTTTTAAAGTGAGCAACAATACAAATAATGAGCCATGGAATACCTGTTAACTCGCTGATGGAACGGAAAAAAGGTATGTAAGGGATACCTATTTTTACGAAGGAAAGCCTTTGTTTCTGAGAACGATCGGTGGGCCTTGCGTTGGCAGCAGTAATTCGTTTCTAACGGTGAGATAATATCTGGCAGCCTTATTAAAAACTACTTTTACTAGCTTCAGCTTAACTTAATGTGGCTACTGTGTTCATTCCTTAAAATAATAAAGATATATTTCTAAAGACAGTAAATGGCAACTTCGATGTTTTGCCACTGACTTGTTGTCGTTGGCAGTAGAGTTGAAACCCATATTTTAAAAGAGCTAGCAAATTTTATTTGTGAAAAAATCTAAACTTCTGTTCATTCACTAAAGATGAGAAAATGTTTATTTCATGAAAACATCTACGATGTTTTTGCAACTTCATTTTTACTTATTTATTATATAAGTATATATATATATATATAAGAAAGTTTATTTATTAACCGCATGATGGATCAACCTAACCAGAACTTCACGACATAGACGAAACAACATAAGGTCATAAAGCTGTGCCATTCGGGAGTCACGTTTTCATCTATCCTGATTCAAACAGTTATTGCCTTCCGCTTATGACTAATGCATCTGTCACTGGGATGACAGATGTTCGGCTGTATGATACATGGAATAGTGCACGCGCAAACTCGGATGCTTTACTTCGGGTACCGCATGTTTAGATATGACAATTTGGAGCGTTACGTAGATAAGCAAATCATGTTGTTTAACGAATTTAAGTTGTGGGAACGTATCATGTTGACGTGTCCACATCAAAGGCCATACGTATGCGGTTTCATTTGCAAATGCTGGCTTTGGGCCATTTTTACGCTTAACTTTGCCCCAACAACGAACTACGAAGCTGAAAAATAGGCCCTAAAACTTGAAAAAGTTGATTGACAAGCAAAGTGGTGAACACAATAATTTGCGTCTTCCTACATCGTTCAATGCTGCTATCGTTAACGCCCCATTCCAATGTAAATTACGAAGACGCGGCAAGCTCTTCGCCATCATGCATACGTCAAGTTATTAACACTTACTCCCCCTTTCCCTAAAGAGTAAGGGTGTCGCGCCCACTTCAGCTGTTGCTGCTGGCTTTGCCTTAAAACTTTTTGCTTACCCGTCAATTTTTAAGGTCCTTGCTTGGATCTTCTTGCCCCTCATACCTTCTCCTTCGCTGGGTAGTAATAAGATGGCGGAGGCCGGCCTAGTTTGTACAACGGGGATAACACCAGTCGACGCCGGGCCTTCATGCTTCTGCGTTCACTTTAGCACGTCACATCTCACGGCTGCTGCACGTCGAGTAAAAACTAGAAATATAACCGTAGCCGTATAAGGTTTCCATTCCGCTGAGTGCCCGGGTGACCGCTGAACCTTCATGTAGTTGATTAATGCTTACTTATTGAGATTGAACTGCTATCCAGTGGTATTTTGCGAAGGTCATAAAGGATCGAAGTTGAGTTAGATCGTGCTAAGCCTACCCGATTCGGCATTTGATAGAGACTTCGTTCTTAGCCACGTTTGTTTTTAACTTTCCTGACGTTCCGCATCAAAGCTGCTAGTGTCAAACTTTATCAACATTACCGCACATCAACGATGTGCAACGCCGACTTCCTATCTTTTTTCGGATCAGCTCGCTAGATCCTAGTTTTGATGAAGGCGGGCATGCGAATTAATAAAAAGGCCCACAATTTGTTTTATAATCCAGTCGAGATCAAGATCGAAACCTTTGATTACTGAATCCTGCAGACCTTTGCAGGACCTCAACTTCCTGCTTGTTGTGGGTGGTGAAACTCTACGGGGTCAGTATGTATATTCAATGGAGTTTCTATGCGGTGATCGGCAAGTTACATGCTTCAGTAACAGACAGATGGCACATCTGCCATGACAAGCAAGTCATTAAGCATTTTGCTAAGAGCTCTCGAAGTAGGTTAGTGGAACGGTGAAAAAGAATAGCGTATGCATCGAATAAAGGTTAGACGAGGCGTGGGCTAAGCATAACATGTTGAAACTGTTTCAACTCAATAAGCGCACGCCATTGCTTGAAAGAACGTAAGAGGCGTCGAGATGAAATCAGTTTAGTCCTGTTCGGAGTCGGTAATTTACACTTGTCAATGGTATCGACAGCGACGAAGTCTCAGTGCGAGAAGAGTATGGTGACTGCCAAAGACCATGTGGTCATAACGCGAAAGCAAACCCACATGTATATATTAGTGGTGGCCTGAAGTACACGATTTATACAATATGTCGGTGACATTGTTGAAGGCAGCAAAATATAATTTAGGTGAATAAAAAAATGTTTGTCGAAATACACAATAGTGGTTCATGGAAACGTGTGTGTGTTTTTTTTTTACATGTAACTAATGTGAATGCGTAAGACAGAGACCCGTCTCATGAATAGAGAATTAAGACTGTTGTGTATTATGCCTCAAAGTAT